CATCTGGGGTAGTGGCCAGGGCACCTAAACCCAACTGTGATTTTTCAGCTCTTGAGTCAAAGCGCTTTGTCTCAGCATGTTGTTTCCTGTCCTGCCACCGGACTCCTGGATAAATACAGACTCCAGCCTCATCTGGTTTTCAGGTTGCACTGATGAAGTCACAGCCAGTTACGAATCTGTGCCAAAACCTGTAACTCAGGCATAGGTTTCCAACCATGCTGTGTTTGGGCAATGCCAACAAATGGTTCTAGGCAGGACAGCGAATGATTTTGAAGACCCCATGCTACCCAGACATGTGCACTGCAGCTGCAACTTAGATTGAGGCCGCAGGGATTTTGGTTTTCTGGAGGGTTTTCAAGACAAGCTAGTGGCATACTTGCATTTGGTTTTTTTACTGGTCTGATGTTGATCCTGGAGGGTGTATTTAAATAGCCTTTAAAAATGAAAAGACCTTGCCTAACTGAAACCAGGTGCTTTAGATAAACTTGCAGTTGTACATGTCCACAAAAGATAAGTGGTGTGCAGGGCCCTGTATTAATGCTTCTAATGATATACCCTGCCTTGAACTTGTAGTTTGATCACGGTGCTTGTACACTTTAGTATCTTTGAAGTCCATTAAGAGAAATGCCATGTAATTCAGGTTGCTATTTATTAATTTACTATTATTGTGAGCAGGGTGACTAATGGTTATCTCTGATTTAACTCTGAATCAGAGCTGTAGGAAGTGAGAAATAGTTCCTTAATGATCTGGCGGCTTAATAATTTCTAAGTGAAAATTTACTTGGAGTATATCATTAACAAAAGGAGAGATGCAAAAAAGCTTGGTCAAGGCATTTGGCATGGATGTGTGTCATGAAGCAGCACACCGGGAAGTTAAGATTTTGCTCGTAAGGCTGGTAGCTCACTGTGAGCATTGGCCTCCTGTCCCTCTCAGAGCGGTCCTTTTTCATTTACTTACAGGTTGGCTCAGTTACAACTATATGTGTGGAAAGCTTTATCTATTGAGTAGGTGCCAAAATGCATTGGCCTGTTTGGAGAGCAGAGCTTGAGAAAGGAGCTCTTTTTTTTAATTTTTTCTTTTTTTTTTTTTTTCAAACATGGCTTTTCTTTGGATGCAGCACATCAGGGTTTGTTGAGATGAGCTTTTTTCATGCATCTTTGAAAAACAAGCATTCGTATCTACATTTCTAGGGCTTTCTAACCTTGAGGTCTTTGCAGCCTCTGGCAGAACAAAGTGTTTTCTTCAGTATCAAAATGTTTTCCAGCTTTCCATTGTGGTGCAAACAAGTGTGTTGGTGGGAGGTCATTTTTCAGGCCTGCCCAGCCCTTCTTATGGGAAGATCATTTGTTTGTTGCCAGTGGGTGTGGAAGAGGGAAAATCCCCTCATTTTAGAGGAGGTTTCTACTGCTGCAGGGGACTCCATTGTGTGCTTGCCTCTGCCCCGGCCCTTGGGCATGATGCTGGACAAGTCACCTCAGCCATGGCTGGGGCAACACATTGCATCTGCCACCATTTTTGCAAAGCAGGTCTGCGACCATATGGATCGATATGAGAAGCATTGAGCTCTTGAAGGTGCAGCCTGAAGTTCAGGGGAGATGCTTTTCAAACATGTCATTTTTATAAGGCTTAAGTATTGCAGGAGCTCAAGTCTTCATCTGCTGTTAGCTTTACTCTCTGCTATTCTTCTGTGGCTGTAAAACTGGGGATGATGCCATCCCCAGAGAGATATTATCCTGATGTCTCTGAACTTGAGTCCTCAACTTGGCGTGTCTCGTGCAGCTTGTTGCATTGAATGGCACGCTCAGTGGTATGACTGTGAAAACAACTCTGCCTTCAGCCAAGAGAAAGACCAAGGAGACTGAGTTTGTTCGTCCCTGTCTGTAGTTTCCAGCAGCAACCGAGAGTGGGGGCCAGGGACGAGTTTATGTCTGGGACACCACAGTGCATTGTCCGAACTCCATTGATTTGCGACTTGAGATACCAGAGGCCCTGCCTTTCTTCCTGATAGTCCTTGATGAACTTTCCTTCCATGAATTCATGTTAATGATTTTTTCCAGCCAAGTGAACTTTTGGCCTGCCCAGCCGAGTTCTCCCATTTAATCATGTCCTGTGTGGTGGTTCTGGACGAGCTTCCCTGCAGTCCTTCCTGCTGCTGCTTTTGCACTTCGCAAACCTTAAAAGGATCACTGAAGCTGAGAGAGATCTGTTGCCTGCTGGCAACCACCGACCATTGCAAAGTCAAATGCATGGGGTTCGGGATACCAGGTTCAAGACTGCATGTCCATCCTGAATACTGAATGGGGCAGGGAGAGGCTGGCAGCAGAATGGCACCATGTTGCTGTCATTCTGAGCCCCACTGGCCTGAGCTTGTGTTCAGCTTTATTCTTTCAGCAGGCTGCCACCATGTCCTGTAGGGAAGTGGTGAAAGAGGATAAGTTCTTTTACAGAAATACATATTTTAAAACCTGATGAAGCTGCTTGAAATGCAGATCCTCTGAGCTTCTCAACAGGTACAGGATTTCTTTCCTGAGAGGGATATGATGAGCATGTTATAAACAGTTATCTTGTCCCCTTATCATTGTAGAGACAAGATGGGATCAGTTCAACTTGTGCTAGCTTGGAGGAAATGCTGCTTGCTTACTTAGCAGAAGATGGAGCTGGTGTCCCATCTACCTGCTCATAGCCATGGTTAGATGTTGGCTTCCAAGTTTGAAAACCTGTTGCAAACTGAGTTAATAGGGACACAGAACTGTGAAATGTGGCTCACTGTGGTATGTGTTAAAGAAGTGCCAGTTCAGCTTTTTTTTAAGGTAGGTTAATGGTGGTCCTGGTTTGTTGAACCCGTTTGTGGAGCCATCAAAGGAGATGGTTTTGATGAAATGGGATATTGCTCTGACATGTTGGCTCCTGGTGCTCACTGGAGGACCCTCTGGGTAAACCAGTCTCGTGACATCTCTGAAGAGCAGGGCTTGTGGTTTTGATTGTATCTTACAACTGAACAAAATTTAGTTCAGCTGACGGTCTCCTAACACTACACGTCAAGTTTTAACGTACATGGTATTTGGTGTATGAGTCCTCTCTGTCCGTCTGTTTTGTTTCAAGGGATAGAGTGCCTCCTTTGCCATGGTAGGAGGTGGGACATGTACAGTGGCTTATTACCATAGATAGCCACAACCCATTAATTAAATTCCTAAATCTCACATTTGGGGGGGGAGTGGTGGTGGTGGTGAAGAAGTGATTATATGTAGGTACAATTGCTACCTGATTTATTTTTTTTTTGATACTGAAGTTAATGTGTGGTTAAAATCTGTACCCTTGTCCTCCTTCCCTCTTGCCCCTGAAATATGAGGGACTGATACTCAGTTTACCATTTCTGTAACCTTATAGTTTGCTCCAAAAGAAGATACAGAAGCATGGCCTTGTGCACTTGGTAGTTCTTCCTGGTATGGGAATGGTGGTGTGCTGCTCTGTTTTGGTGCAGCATTTCTCATGAAGATGCCCTTGCACTGTGTAAAGCTGCTCAGCTGGCTGTTGGTCACAGCTCTGTGCACCACCGGGCACTGGTTTTGCCAGTGGAGGTCATGGGGTTACACCATCTGTGTTTTTTAATTGGTCACCTACCTTCTGGTCACATTTTTTGTTTTTTTTTCTGAGGTTAAACAGACATTCTTGATCGCTTTCTGTGGCTGTTCAATCCCAAAACTTGTTCGTACTGCAGTAAGAACGTAATTTATGTTCCCTCCTTTGGCAAGATAACCAGTTTTGCACTGAGTGTAGTCCAGCAGTCTTGGCATGATCCACAGCAGCCTTGTAACAAACGCTACATATCAAAGCAAAGCAGTTCTCCTTTTGCAATGTCAAACCTATTGTTTGCAAAATGAACTTCAGCTAAACTGCTTAAATGGGTTCATTTAGAGGAGGTAATTTAGCAGAACTGCTCTGAATATTAAAAATAGGGCAATCATGGAAGGATTTATTGCTTAAATTGATATTTTTGTTAGCAGCTGACGAGATGCTTTGTTTGTCAAATATTTGTTGCCCAAGCAGCTGTCCCTTGTGATTTCTGGAATGAAGATGGGAAGACTGTTTTTGTAACATCTGTACTCGCCTTGCAAATTCATCCCAAAAATGCAAGAGTGCAGGATGACTCACTAGTTTTCCTGTGTCAAGGAAATTAGAGTAGTGACATCATCTAGTTCAGAGATAAAGAAATGCCTGATCTGGGTGCTTTCAGAGAGGCAGATTTTAACACCCAACCTGCAGATGTGAAGTCACAGTCTAAAAACCAGCATCTGATTTGCAAGGTGACTGGAACATAGGCCTGGTTTTGTTGTGGCTTTGGTTGGGTTTGGGTTTTTCCCCAGGGGTGTATAAGACTTGATTGTGGCAACACAAAACATGTAAATTTATACCAAAAGAAAAATATTTTCCTGTGGGTTAAGAAAAAAACCCTTAGCTTACACCACCTTGAAAACCTTATGTGTTAACAATGTTTGCCATCTCCAGCCATCTGTGTCCAAGGTGAAAGACTGCTTGTTTTGGGTAACTGGGATGTCTCTGCTGGTCTCCTTAAGATCATCTGTGTTATGTTCCTGGCAGGGACAGGGACTGAAGTAGTGATGCAAAAGAAGCAAGCATCAGAAGCAGAGGTTCCCAAGGAGCAAGTGAGGTCTGCTGTGGTTTATCCAAAAAGCTGAATGAAGAAAGGGAGCCCAGTTCAGCATCCTGCCTGGTGTGAGGGAATGCTGGCAACCCCCGCACTGCAACCTCTGCAGAGTATTTGGTGACACATCACTGTGTTACTCAGCTAACTCTAAAAGGAAAACACATTATTTTTGCTCCCATACAGGTGGTGGGAGAAGAGACAAGTCCCACATTCAGGAAAGAGGTGGGATAACAGCAGGGGAAGCAGGAAGGTGGGCAGTACAGTAATGCATTGTTGGGTGCTGGAGAAGTCCCGCTTCCCCATCTGGACCTGCCAGCCAGGCTCTGTGTCACGATGGTGGAATTCCTGGAAGTGAAATGGGCAAAATTTCCAGGGTAACTCCATCTTGGTGGGGTTTTCCCCTGGGAAAGAATTGAGCTGATTTGGAAGCATTTACTGCCTTAGTCTGTTAAATTAATCAAACAGAAGTCTATAGGTTCAGGATTACGAGAACTAAATCAGGACTTCAGAGAGTCTGAGGTTTCTCCATCATTTTTCATTATGATCGTAATTAAACCTTTGGTTCCACAGGCAAAAGCCCCCTCTTTCCTCTCTTCCTCCTTTTCTCTTGAGTATAATAGTTCTGCTTTTTTGCAGCACAGAAAAACCTTTCACAGAAGGTTTTTCCCCCTTGTCAGTGATGGATACTTTATCTTCTCTAGGTCAGCTTGCCCATTTGCAAGAGCAACCATGGGACTTGCCCTGGTAGAAGAAAATCATTCTTTGAGGAAAAGTCTCATGAACTTAATTTTTATGCATCAAATTCAACTATTAGGACAAAAGTTAGGAGTTTTTTGGTTTCTTCTGGGTTTTTTTGTAAGATGGCAGGATTTGGGAGGGGATTTTAAACATAAGTTAGATCAACCGCCAGAGGCAAATGTGTGACTTCAAATTTGAAATCTTCTTGATCTTTTTAGAATTTTAAAAGCCTATTTTACCATTTGCAAATATTATTAGCTGAAAATATTGAAAACATTTTGAAAGCCTTTTTCCCCCCTGCTGGAGAGATGTCCAGGCTTCAGTACCAGAATAGGGCTAGATACTTGTCTAGGAAAAAAAATGAATTGTATTCATAATTACGTGAGATAGTTCTATGAATAAAAATGCAGCTGGGGGAGTCCTGACCCTACCCTCACTGTTGTGTCTGGGTTTCCCCAGGGCCATGAGTCCTGCCAGCTGCCAGTTGGATGCTAACTGTGTTCCTATGAAGCTGGCCCTTCTGTTAAGTGAGCCAGACGTGTGACTAACATGCGCTTAATAGCACTGTGCTACAGGAGTGTTTCTTCACTGGCTTCATTCTTGGGCTGATCTGTGCTGTGTTTTCAGGAGGGAGTTCCTCTCTGGAATGGGATGTTGCTGCAGCCTGCCACGAGCTTTGCTCCTGGACAGCTTCCAGCACCCTGCCTGTGCCAGCTACAGCAGGCAGAGGTACTACCACGATGGTGGAGGGGAAGTAAGGGCACAGTAGGACATTGTTTTAGACCTTATCGGTCTTTGTGATGACCAGCACTGCTTATTAATGACACGTCTTTCCTCCTGCAACATTGGACAGCTCTGCCTCCTGAGGATGGCTGAGCAAGAGTTGGCCTGAGGAGGCTGTATGCACTTTGGGGATCTTTTGAATGTCCTGCTCAGCTCCTGGCTCTACTCCTTTGTTTCCACCCCTCAGCATAGCATATGGCACTTGCACTTGTTTCTTGCCCTGGTCCCATTTGTTATGCAGCCATGGAGATACTGACTAAAGAAATGGGTAGGTGGGGTAAGGAGGAGATGCTGCCTTGTGTCATAACGACCAGAGTTTATACATACTTGAATTTCAAGTGGAAGGTGGCAAATCATCCATGTAATTCATTGGGACAAGCCTAAATGCTCTTCTACTATGCTTTCTGTTAATCATGCAGTGGTTCTGCTCCTAACCGTTGGGAGCGGTACCCCAGGCATTTAGCTATCAAATGGCAGGAGAAGATGCTCCCTGACAACACCTCTTGTGTGGGTAGTCACATGCAACCTTCTATTTGTGTGGGCAAGCACAGCTGCTCCATTTCAGGGCCAAACACTTAAAAAAACCCTTGAGGTTACTTTTTCAGATGCCATGAACTGTCCTCAGAGCAGAGGACACTGATGTTTCCTGATTTCCAACAGGTCTATGCTATGGTGTACTCTCTTGTCTCAAAGGTCCACCTCTTTATTTGGGAGGAGCACCAAGGAAAAGCCTCCTGCCTCTGCCTGCAACCTGCTTTCACAAAGCAGAGGAACATTTTGTACCACCAGTGGGGAAAAGCTTGTTTGTTTAGGAAGCCAGGCCAGGAGACACTTGGAAATAGCTCAGTCAAGCCTGATCTTAAAGACACCTGAGGTCTTGGCGTCTCCCAGATTGACAGCCTCATGGAAAGGTTTGATAGAAGGGAAGGCCAAAAGCAGAGTTAGGATTTGGCTACTTGGCCTGGTGTGACCGCAGTACAAGGTTTGAAGCCATGTCTTTATTTTTTGTCTCATTTCCTGGATGAGGTAAGACAGGGTGGGCTGAGTGCTGAGATCATGCACACGTGGCCAAACAGTAGATTTCCAAGGAAAGGACAGAGCATGCCAGTGTCCTTCTTAACCATCTGGCTGGCAGAGGCTGCACGGCTCTTCTGTGGAGACACTACCAGGTCATTTACTGGCTTCTTAGAGCCTTGCTTGGGGCTGAGTTTTAGGTTAGAAGTTCCTCTCCCAAATATCACATCTTTGATCTAGACTATCGCAAGAAATGCTGTCCAGTGTCCCTAAATTGTCCCTGCCATGGTGCCCAATATCCAGGCGGGAGTGTGTTGTAATTGGATTATCTCTTTGAAATATGTTTGGGTTACGATGATGAGGTTAAACTGTGAGAATAAAATCCGTAGGACAGCCCCGCATGTGATTAAACCCTGTCCATCACTTATCTCTGCCTCCCAGCTGTCTTGCCGTATATGCTTGTTCAGATGAAATCTCTCAGGGTTTGCTCTCAGGCCACTGATGCTTATTTTTGCTTCACTCTGTTCTGATGATGCTACAGCCCTGGCTTCCCAAGCTGTGTCCCAGATGGGGGATGATTGGGCGGGAAGTCGGTGTTTCCTGCCGAACAGCGCATTCCCAGCCAAGCAAGCTGCCATCCCAGACATCTGCTGCGTGCTGTGTTTCTCTCTCTTGCTTTACCTTTGGTGTAGCAGGCGACCAGAATTTGAGTTGGTGTGTGGCAGGCGGTTGCTCAGGGTTAGGAAGAGTTTACCAGCAAGATTATTCACATAGCAGAAAAATCGGAGGGATTTGGTACCAGCTCCCAGGAGATAGGAGAGGTTTGACAGTGTTGCTGAATTGCAAAAATGCCCTCAGTGATGTTTTCCCAAGCTCCAAAAGATGCCAGCATGCAAAATAAAGGCTCTGAGATGCATTCACTGGGAAGATTTATGGCACAGCAACGTATACGTACAACAATCTGGTTATATCAGCCACGTAGGAATGTGTTAGTTACTGCATCTTCCCAAGGCATGGATGTTATCGTAGTTCATCTCCTGAAGGACAGATCCAGCAGATCAACATTTTGCAAAAGCAGGTGTGTGGCTGGAGTTCCTACTGATGCAGAGGTCGTGACGGAGAGATGTGAAGCATTTTGCAGAAATATCAGTCTTGTCTGTTGTGGTTTGCAAACAAATTGCAAAATAGCTGCTTTGTGGTTTTTGGAGTGCTGCACTTGAGGAGCGTGTGATCGTGGGGCAGGTGTTAGGCTGCAGCACGGGAGGTTTTGCTGCAGAGCTGAGTGGTGGCACGCTGTTGGGAAGGTGAGTTTGGGCGCGTGTGCTGTGGTGAGGGTCCCTGGCTAAGTGACGCGTAATTTCGGAGCAGTGCTAGAGCTCAACCAGGAGTAAACACAGCAGGAGCACACCTGTGCATCCTGGGAGAAAGGATTATTTTTGTCAGCTGGATCTTCTGTGTATGCTCATGTAGTTTCTGTCCAAGTCAGAACCCCTGGGGACGGGCGGAAATTATACCATTGTGGTACTGGCTCACCTTTGCAAGCTCAAAATGCTCAAACAGACTTTTAAGACCCCTCTGCAAGAAACCCCCAAACAAAACAGAGTGAAACACAGAAACCAGATCTTTTATTTTCTAGGTCACCAGGATGCACTCACTTTTTCAGGGTCAGGTCTAGAGAGGTTTTGTTTCTTCGTTTTTGTTTTGCTGTGGTACCCAGGCGTTACGTTTCAGACAGCATCCTGTCCACCCACTACACTCCAACCCCCAAATAATTGATTTTGTCCTTTGAAACAACTGTATAAGGGAGAAGTGATATCAGGGACCTGCTTTGGTTGATGTGGCAATGAAAATGGGAAGTGAGAGTCCCTGGAGTGAGAAGATGCATTGCTGGAGGTGATTGAGACAAAAGTCCTGAAACTCATGCTGAAGCGTTAATGGCACAGCAAGCACAGGATAAAAACAACGATCAGGCTGTTCTGCTAATGTGTTTAAAAGGGAACTTTAACTTTATTTTTCTCCCATTCCTCTTTTTTTTTTTTTTTTCTTGTAAAAGCTTTTTTCTTGGACAAATGGAAGATGATCACTTCTCTGCTATGACCTCAGATGTAGAAATATTTATATGGTGAGATGTAAACCATGGGAAAGGCCAGACCTGCTCTTATACTGATGATATGAAATTGATAAACCTAGGTTCATGCAGAATCTGGCTGTGGAGAAAATATTTACATCCTTGTTCCCTCCTGAAAATTTTCCTTTGGATGTCTCAGTTGGGAATGTAATCCTTGCAATCAATAAGGTCTTGTAGATACTTTATGTGCAAAAAATCACTGTCTAAATACCATTGCTGGTGCTGCAGGACACAAACAGGCTGTTTTAGTTTGTGTCCCAGTGAAGAAGCTGGGGCTGCTCTGCCCACACGAGGTCAACGTTAGGAAACTCCAAAATTCAGGCCTCTGGCTCAGCATTGTGCCGATCCCTTGTTTGCACTGGGAAGTGCATGCATGCATGTTAGGAATTGTTTCCTCCGCCTATCCCACCGTGTTTCCCATCTGGGTCCTGGTTTCACTCAGCTCAGCCCTGCTGAGTTGCTTTGTGCCCCAGCTGCAATTACTAGCAGCCGTGTCATGTTAAACACACCAAGTACATCAGCAACTACAAAGTTGCTTTTGTTTTGCAAACGTAATTAAAATAATAGGTGAGTCTGCTTGTATTTTAAAATGCCGAAGAGGCAGGGAGCGTGCTGCCTGTACCTCTGCACAGACTCTGTGTCCTCCCATGCCTGCCTGTGGGTTTATCAGTCACCTGGCAGCACTCCTGCAGCAAAGCAAGTCACCTTCTGCCACTGCCGACAGCAAGAGACATGAAGGCATTGCCACCAGAGTGCTCTGAGCAGAGGGAAATACTGTCTTCAGACAACAAGTCTGCGCTGGTTACGCAGAAATCCAACTTAGAGCAAAATGACAACTTGCTGAAGTTTACTCTAAAATCTCATGCTCATTTTTAATGAATTTGCGTTTCTCTCCCTTATGTTAGTCCCAGATGAAATTTTCTTTGGTACAGAGAACAACAAGGTAAAAAAATTGGTTTATCTTGCTTTGTTTTCATCAGGGATCAACCAATGTGGTTTACCAAGCCCATCACGTCAGCAGGAGTAAGAGAGGACAGGTCGTTGGTACCAGAGGTGGATTTCGAGGCTGCACAGTTTGGCTAACAGGTATTTTTGTCTGGGCACGAAAGCATGGCTTCATGTGTGAAACCCACTTGCATAAATGAGTATGGCTTAGAGGTGGGGATTTAGGATATGCAGGAAACATCAGCGTTCCATGTGAACTGGGAATTGCAAAACATTTACATGAGGGAAACACCGACACGCAGTGCTGGCACAGCAAGATATTCTCTCTGGCAGCTTCTGCCCATAACTAATGTTTTTATGAATTTCACAGCTGTTACCAGCCTCCTTTGAACATGTCAGAAGCCCTTAGGGTCACACTTGTCGTTCCTAAGTGTGTGGCTTAGAAAGCCTTGGCTCAAATCCAGCCAGTCCTTGGCAATGAAACACGTCCAGGGTTGTCCAAAAGAGCATGCGGATGTTTTCATTCTGGGTCGGTGGGAAGTTTATTGGGACACCCAGGTTTAGTGTGTTTAAAGTGACCTTGTGAGCAGCACAGCAAGGCAGTTGTCTTGTCTGAAGAATAAATACTCCCATGGTATTTATTCTCTGGACAATGAGTTGCACTGGAAGCAATTCCTTGCACAGCCATTGCAGGTTTCTTACGTTATTTCTCACTTTATATGCCTTCAGATGTGTTGCCCTTCTCTTCTGCTTTGAAAGAGAAACTCATCGTTTGAGGATTAGGGCCTGCTAGAAATGACAATTGCATTTCTTTTGCTCCACTAATATATTGGAGATGTTCTCTCTCCTAAGTCAAGGTCCTCTTCCATCTCAAGAATTCTTCAACACATGAATTCCCAACCAAGGGAAAGGAGGAGTTTCGTGCTCCAGGTGCATTTGCTGCTTTCTGACACAGCCAGTAGCAAGTGCTTTTTCTGCAAGTGAATCGAGCTGTGATGGGAAGCAGCCATGTCCTACTGGATTATTGTCTTTCTGGTTGATGAATCCAGGAAACGCAGACAGCTGAAGATGTGCTGCTTGTCTGCCCAACCATCCTGCTTCGTGCTCACAAAGATCTGTGGGTGCTGCTTTGTGGTGTCTGTGGATACAGAGTGGCAATTGCTCCTGGAGCCCCTCCCATTATTTGCAGGAAGAACCTCTCCTTGGGTTCAATCCGGGAGAACATTTGGCTCATAGGGAAAGCAGGAGGAGGAAGAGGAAGATGCTGAGAGACTTACAGGCATTCTTTCAAGCCTCCCCTACTTACTGGTACTTATTTGTCCCATTATGGCTCAGCAAGAGGTATTTTTGTAAGACTGCTGGAGTGAAGCCCTCCAGATTTTGGGATATAGCAGCTTTTCTTATGGCATTAATGGCACCCCTTCAGTAAGAAGGGTTGACCATAACTCTGTGGTGGTAACTGTGTGCTGAAAAGGTGACTCCAACTTCCCCATATCATTCCTTCCTAAAGCAATGTAAGACAGAAGGAGTTTTGTTGCCAGTGTCCTAGGAGGCATTGCATTACACTGCCGTTTTTGCTCTTTTGACCTCAAACCTGACCCTCACTTTTCTGTCCCCAACAGGCCTTTCTGGAGCTGGCAAGACAACCATTGGCTTTGCTCTGGAAGAGTACTTGGTCTCTCATGGCATCCCTTGCTATTCCCTGGATGGTGATAATGTGCGTCATGGCTTAAATAAAAACCTGGGTTTCTCAGCTGGGGACCGTGAGGAGAACATCCGCCGCATTGCAGAGGTGGCCAGGCTGTTTGCTGATGCCGGGCTCGTCTGCATAACTAGTTTCATTTCTCCGTTTGCAAAGGTAATCTCACTGCATTGTATTCTGCTCTTTTCTGGGCAACCTTGATGTCATGATTGTTCTTAGGGAAGAGAGATTTACGTTGAGGACTTCTTACGTATGCTGTCAGATGCTCCTTTTAACTAAAATACACCAATACACCGAACTACATGCAATCAGTACGAATTCCTGGAGGTCGGTTTGACATGACCTTTTTGAATACATTCAGTGTTACAGATCGATTAAAAGCTGAGAAGTTTAAAATCTTCCTATAGAGGCTCCTACTGTTAACTCATTAGGAGGCAGAAAAGATGTATAGAAACAATAGTCTGTCATAGCGCTATCACTGCTCTGTTTGAAGAACTACTGATTGTGTTTTTATGCTTCCTGAGAATACCAAGTAGCTGCTGTTATCAGGCTGATGCAAACAGTTCCCTTTTTTTCTGACACAGGACAGATAACTGTTCACATTCTGAAGTTCTGCTGTTCTCCTTAATTAAGAGATCTTCTTGATCTTTCAGATAGAAAAAGCTGAAAAAAAAAGAAAGTTGTAGGACACTTCTTCTAAAGTATCTTTAAAGAAAAGGGGGGAAGGGAGATGAAAAACCCTTATTAGAAACAGTGTAAATTTATTAAATCTGTATCAGAGATGTATTTATGTGTGTTGAATTCCAGGGCACATCATGTGGTAGGAAGATACTTGCTGCAATTCAGACACATATGATTTTCCCATCTTTCTTCTAACAGGATCGTCAGAATGCACGGAAAATTCATGAAGCAGCTGGACTTCCTTTCTTTGAAATCTTTGTAGATGCCCCTCTGAATATTTGTGAAAGCAGAGACGTGAAGGGTCTGTACAAAAAGGCAAGAGCTGGAGAGATCAAAGGTATGGAAGAGTGGACGCTTATTTTGCCTTTTGCTTTCCAAAGCATTGGATATTTTGACATTGCAGCTCTGTACATAGAGGTGGGTTACTAAAGGCCCTTTGTAGCAGACAAGAGTATCCTGTTCCCCTAATCTTGCTGTCACAAGTGTCACCTGTAGTACCCAGGATGGTTGAATGCTCATGGTTGTTTATACAGCGTTGTTGGCTCTAGGGCACAGAGTATTACATTAAATAAATTTAGTTTGGGTTTAATTGTCCGTAGGATTCACAGGGATTGACTCAGAGTATGAGAAGCCTGAATCTCCTGAACTAGTGTTGAAAACGAACATTGCGTCAGTGTCTGAATGTATTCAGCAGGTTGTGGAGCTCCTCCAAACACAAGTAGGTCATTTTAATGCCACCGCCGCTGGCAGCTTTGTAAAGCTGCTTTTGGATACAGACTTTCTGGTGTGCACTTAAAAGCCAGTGTGTTGCTTACAGTTGCTGTCTCTCTCTCTTTCAGAACATCGTGCCCCACAGCTCAGTTAAGGACGTTCTTGAGCTCTTTGTGCCTGAAAATAAACTCAATACTATGCAAGCTGAAGCGGAGATGCTGCCATCTGTAGAGATCACTAAGGTATCATCATGCATGGATGATGTGCTGTGATTCAGTCATTATTTAGCTGTTCGAAGGGTAGAAGCTTCGATGGGGATGTTGCTAGAGGGGGCTCTGTTCCTCTGGTGGCTGTGTCCTTTTGTTGCTGTGGTTTATGATGAGCTGAAGTGTGGTCCTAATCCTCAACCATTTTCTGCTGCCTCCACCCTGTGCTGTAGCAAGCCAGGGATGTCAGCCCCCTTTGTTGTGTTACTACAGCCCCGCAGGCAGTTGTGCTATGAAAGTGTGTGAGTCTGGCTTTAAAAAAACCCCAAACTAACCCCCTCCCAGCTTTCTCCCCCTTTATGAACGTCCAACATTTGAAGCAAAACAAGTGAGAGCGCTGTTGCAGCAGAAGGGAAGGACAAGCAACCTCTCAGCGTGTCCTGGTGACAGGAGTGCCGTTTGGGTTTGTTTTGCAGCTGGATCTGCAGTGGGTGCAAGTGCTGAGCGAAGGCTGGGCCACTCCGCTGACCGGCTTCATGCGCGAGGCAGAGTACTTGCAAGTGATCCATTTTGGCACCCTGCTGAATGGTACGAATCCCCACGCTTTGCGTTACGCTGGCCAGCAAGCTGCGGCGGGACGGGATGCTTACCCGGTGGTGTCTCAGCAGGCAGCCACACGGAAAGGCTTAATGCTCAGCAGTGTTTTCCTCCTTCTTTCCTCTCACGTGTTAAATGTGAAGGCCTGTAAATAACTGTAGGGCCAGTAAGCCGTGCTCTGAAACACACCAAAGGTTACAGAATGTGAGAGATTTCACTGCTCTAGGGCTGGTGCCCAGGCTCACAGCTTTGACATCTTGCATGGTGCCAGTCAAACATTTCAGGAGCCATTGTGTAGCTCTTTTCATGCTTGGTTATACTAGGGTAAATAAAGATGCCAACCCAAAGCCAAGTAAGCGGGGAGGCTGCCAGGCTGAATTTGAGGTGGGAGGACAAGGCAGCTGTTCCTTGGAAACAGGAGCAGAGCCTCATTTCACTTTCTTCCCTGTTTTCCTGCTTATCCATTACTGTAACTTGAAAGAAATAAGATTTATCCATTCATTAGCAACATGCTAGAGGTGCTTCATCTCTGGAAATGGCAAAAAGTACTCAGGCAGTGATCGTTTACAGCTGAGGCCAGGGCAGTAGATATTTCTGTCTTGTTTGTCAGCTGTGGATGCTGTTGCTGTGACTTCACATGCACGCAAGGTGCTCACTTTGGGTTTTGTAGACCTGATAGTGATCTCTGGCCTTGGGTATTTGGGATCTTGGCAAGTGACTCCCCTTTGAGTCTCGCCCTCCTTCTAGAGGATCTCATAGTTGTGCAGTGACTTGCTGCTATTAGGATTTGGGCACCATGCAGCAGATGCAAAGCTCAGGACTGCTCCCTTTGGACCAGAGGAGTGTCTGTATGCAGGCCTTTGGACATGTCGTAGCCTTTTACCTTCTGCCTAGTGTGCAAACAGTGTTCAGAAGCACATGTCCCTGTTATCAGACCCCAATCCGTGGTCTTTGAGCTACCTGCCGTGCCTGACAAGGTCACAGAGGCACCTTGTAATGACTGTGTTGCTCCAGAGAGCAACTTTGCACTGGAGGCTCATCTCAGAGAGCATCTGTTTTTGGGGTGCCCACCCCAAACCTATCAGCTTCACTGAGCGCAGGTCCTCTGGGGTCCATGGGCATACATTTGGGGTTTGTAGGGCTCCATGGGATCAGAGACAAAGCCCAGAACACTGGCTTTTGCTGGGGGGATGAACTCCCCGTAGCAAGGTTTCTGTGGTAGCATCAAGTCCCTGGTTCACCTTGTCTCCACACAGGTCTCCAAACTCAACATCTACATGGTCAGACCCACAGGGTGACATCTGGGCAGGAAGGAGAACACCCCTGGTTTGCTTGGATGAGCTTTAGGAAAAAAGTTTCTGTCTCGTGGTGCTGAGGCTGGGGTGCGGCAGTGTTGCCAAAGAGAGACTTGAGGCTGGTCTTTCAACAGTCGTTGTTCCAGCCCTCTTGCACTGGGGTGCAGGTGATGGTTTTGGCAGCTGTAGCTGTGCCTGAAAGGGCTGCGATTGTTTTGGTGGACTTATGCAAGTTAGTGCTCCTTTTGCTCAGACTTTGAGCAGTAAATTCCACCGACAATTGGGTGGATTGAGGTGCTTTGTGTAGGAGCATGATGGCCACCAGGAGAGAGGTGGATCTACGCATTGTATGGCAGCAGGAGTACCACAGAGTCTCCAGCACTCTGCCCTCCACAGCACCTATGGGTGCCTCTGTTGGAACTGGGTGACAGCAAAAGCATCAGTGTTGTACATCGCTCCCAGTGCAACCAGTGTTGGATAGGTGAGCACTGGAGAGGCTGGGGCAGCGCCCCCGCGGACGGCCGCCACCAGCGCGGCAGCCACGCCAGCAGGCACCCTGCCTGTGGTTAGGTGCTGCTTGCCAGAGGTGCTTTGGTTCTTGCAGTGGTTGCTGTAACTGGTGCATGTGGGTGTTAATTGACTTAATTGTGTTTGTATCCTCACAGGAAGGAATCGCTCTGTAGCTGGTATGTATGTAACTATTCTTAGGTTGTACAGAAATGACTTCAATTTGCATTTCTTTGCTATAAAGTAATTTTCTCAGTTTGGTTTTTTTTTTTTTAAAAAAAAAGGACAATTATTAAGGCTGTCATAAGCTGCCACAGCCTGTTTGTGATTCAGCTGGTTACGAAGCAGCATGACACACCCTGTGTCCTACCCACTAGACTCCAGAAAAGTCCTGGTCGTGTCATTTTGTAATTACCTTTGCTGGAGTGATTTGGTTTTTATTTTTTTAAACTCTGCATCTTGCGTTTGGAAGTGGAGCATGGAGAGCCTCCGCTACAGCATCATTTGTTGGTTTCATAGTTCAGCTCTTTCCATGCTGACTTTATTGACTGATCACCAAGTAACATAATTTAAATGTATGAAGTTGATATTGATTGGATCCCATGCGACTGTAGTTATGATTATTCATGAAGGTGCTTGAAAATCACAGCCTGGCAGACAAATTATACCTAGGTGTGAATTAAAAGTAAATGCAAACATTTTAATAAAGATTTTATAAAAATCTACGTCTAGCCAAAATCCTCAAATTAAGACTCTCAAGGGTCCAAAATGATTTCAGTCAGATCAGAACAAATTGGATCGGTGATTTGTTTGTTCTTGTTTGTGAATGGAAATCCATGGGAGAGACTGATTTTTCTATGTTAGTACGGGGATATCCACGAAGAAATGGCAAGACCTTAGTGGAGGACTGTGAAATTGGGGGGGTGGGGATAAAACCAACATGATTTCAACGTATTTAGGGACAGCACTGAAATTGGAAACTACACATGCAAATTTAGACTCACTGTATAACACAGAAAATAGATTAAAAATTGCCTCTGCAGAGTTGTAAAGGAGAAGGAGTAACAGTATAGAGATATACAGAAAAGAAAAAAAAATACAAGAGAGAAACAAAGCAGAGTGTGACTGTGTTTTTCCTGTTGGAAGAGGCAGTTCAGGAGGAGGTGTGCAAGGAATGAGATGCCCTGGGGAACACCAAGTTGGAGCCATCTTAACAGAGGTTGTTCTCCTGGTGGAAGAGATTATATCCAGAGTTGCATTTTCCCAGTATATTTAAATTTTGCGAAGAGACTTTACAAGCTAACTGGAGAAGAACCAGTCTTTCCAGGGAGATAGACAGCGCAGAAAATAATTAAATGCTCCAGGTATCTTTGAGACATCTCTGGCCCAAAGAAAGGAGCTTTCATATTCCACTAACATTGTTATTTATTAGCAGTGCAGAAAAAAATGGGGCAATGAATAAATTTTCAAGACTGATGGTGAATCTCTGAGCTGGTCCTGGAAAACTTTGCTCTCCAAAGGGAGAATGTGTGCCTCTGAAAGCCTCTGTTTGCTCAATGCCCAAGGCTGGAGTACACTAAAATCCTCTCTCTCTCTTGCCAGACGGTGTTGTCAACCTGAGCATCCCCATCGTGCTGCCAATCTCTGTGGAGGACAAGGAGCGGCTGGAGGGCTGTGAGGCGCTGGCACTAAGCTACCTGGGGCGGAGGGTGGCGGTCCTGAAGCACCCCGAGTACTTTGAGCACAGGAAGGAGGAGCGCTGCGCTCGCGTCTGGGGTACCACCTGCGTAAAACACCCGCACGTCAAAGTAGGTTTGTCCCTGTGCTGCTCTGGGAAACCTGGCCAGGATGGGAAATGTGGGCAGGTGCTGGAGAACTGAGCGTTCCCAAGGTTTCGAGGGCTGTGAGTGTCCTGTCTGCTTTCCAAGCCTAGCTCCTCACTGAGAACCACCACATGCCAAGCAGACAGAACTGAATTTTTAGGCTTGCAAGGTAATGCTGTGCTTGCTGTTTAAGAAGAGCATAGGATAACAAGCACAAGGTGAGAGGAAGAATGAGCGTGCTGCTGAGGAGCTGCTCCTTTCATCCGCTCATCTTCGCCAATGTGCCTACATTCAAACATTTTTAGTATGACTACCAGCTTAGGCTCCAATGTTTTCCTGCATTTGTGGTGTGACAATTGCAGTGATGGTGCCAAACACTAATCATAGAATCATAGAACGGTTTGGTTTGGAAGGGACCTTCAAGATCATCCAGTTCCACCCCCTGCCATGTGCAGGGACACCTTCCACTGGACCAGGTTGCTCAAGGCCCCGTCCAACCTGACCTTGAACACTGCCAGGGATGGGGCAGCCACAGCTTCTCTGGGCAGCCTGTGCCAGCGCCTCACCACCCTCACAGAGGAAAAAACTTCCTCCTAATATCCAATCTAAATCTCTCCTCTGTCAGTTTAAAGCCATTCCCCCTGTCCTATCGCTACATGTCCTTGTAAGAAGCCCCTCTCCAGCTTTCTTGTAGTCCCCACTTCAGGCACTGTGAGGCTGCTCTGAGGTCTCTCCAGAGCCTTCTCTTCTCCAGGCTGAACAACCCCAGCTCTCTCAGCCTGTCTCCATAGGAGAGGTGCTCCGGCCCTCAGAGCATCTTTGTGGCCTCCTTTGGACTCCCTCCAACAAGTCCATGTTTTTCCTGTGTTGGGGACCCCAGAGCTGGATGCAGCACTGCAGGTGGGGTCTCACCAGAGTGGAGCAAAGGGGGGAAATCCCCGCCCTCAACCTGCTGGTCACGCGCCTTTTGTTGCAGCCTAGGATAAGGTTGGCTTTCTGGGCTGCAAGTGCGCACGGTTCTAATGCTGCAGACTGCTGACTCCTGCTTCTTTCAGCTACATTGTACTCCTCAATTTGGCTGCTTTGTGCAGGCAGCCAACAAGGGTGTTAAATTTTTACAGCTTATCTCTTCCTACTTACTCTCTGGCAGTACAAAGAACATCATCCCTTAAAAAGGAAGAGCTCCAGGTTACGCCAAGTGACTTGAGCTGTCTGCTTAAAAAGACTAAAGCCAAGTTAATTCTTTTTTCCCACCTCAGCGTACATCTTCTAATTATTCAGCAGCAGTTGCTCACCTTGCATATTCCCAGGAGGAAAGAGCAAAGAGTGAGGTGGAGGAGGGTCCTGTGCCATAACTTAAAGACCCTGATCTGCCATAGAGGGGTCCAGCACCCAGCTGGGTGCAGTGGTAAGGATTCAGTGGCTGATTCCTTACTTTGCAGGGTTACACTGATCATGACATTCAATTCATATGATAACTGTAAGAATGTTTTCCACCTCCAATGTGGTGAAAGGAAAGATCACCCTACAAGCGGAGTCAAGCCTAACAGTTTTCAAAGGAGAATGGGAAAGGGTAAAGGAGGTATTTTGTTGTCCCCTTCATAATGCGTGTGTGTGTAATTCACAGATGGTGATGGAGAGTGGAGACTGGCTGGTTGGTGGAGACCTCCTTGTGCTGGAGAAGATCAAATGGAATGATGGGCTGGACCAGTACCGCCTGACACCGCTCGCTCTCAAGCAGAAGTTCATGGAAATGAATGCTGGTGAGTGCCCTGGGTTAGCACCAGTGACATGGCCATTCTTTGCCCTGCCTAGCACTGGGGGATTTGTATGATCTGGCATTACTTGCTCTCAAGCTCACGGCACTTGCCAAATTGCTTCTGTATGCTCCCAAAATGGAACTGTGCAGGTGGGGTGAGCAGTAGAGGGACACAGGATATGGCACAAAAAGTGGCGTGGGGTCTTCTTGGTTAAGGAGAGTGTTTGCCATGGGCTGTGTCCTCAGTGGGCCTTTCCAAGCACGGGACTGGAAAGGGTTGAGCATTGTGTCTTCCCTGGCAAGTCAGAGCCGCTCTTTCTGTACCCTGGGCATTTAAAGCCCTGTGCTGACGTGCTTGGCATTCACACATGGGGGACAGCTTAAGGGTCTTCTACCAGGTGTCTATCCCGCCAGGCTGGCAGGCATCAGACACCTACCTTCACTCCGGCGGGAGAGTGTCAGCCTTCCTGAAGGTGCCATGAAGCTTGGAGAGTTGGCAGGTCACTTAAGAAGTCAGGGACCTCAGAGGAGGTGTCCAATGGCGTGTAAAAACACTTGTAGGAGAGCTGATAGGGCTGAAATTGGCACCAAAGGAAGGATATGCAATAAAAATAAACTTGACAGAGTGATGAAGAGGCACTGTAGATGGATGAAACAATCATCTAAGGTATTTAGGGCTTCACACACGTGAAGGTAGGACACACACCTTGTGACGTACATATCTTACGACTGTTGAGATGTGTAGTGTGTAAATGAAGCTGCGGGGTCTGATGATCAGCACAAGCATGTGACCATCTGAATCTTTCTCTTTTAGATGCTGTCTTTGCATTTCAGCTGCGCAACCCCGTTCACAATGGGCATGCCCTGCTCATGCAGGACACGCGGCGCCAGCTTTTGGAGAAGGGATACAAAAACCCCGTGCTTCTCCTACATCCCCTGGGGGGATGGACCAAAGATGACGATGTCCCGCTGGAGTGGCGGATGAAGCAGCACGCAGCAGTACTGGAGGAGCAAGTCCTGGACCCCAAGTCAACTATCGTTGCCATCTTCCCCTCTCCCATGCTCTACGCTGGCCCCACAGAGGTAATGTAGCCATCAGCTGCTCGCTGAGACAAGGTGTAAAGCCTGTCCATGGGCATGCCTGCTCATGCAGCTCCAGAAAGTCACACGGAAGGGAGTTGGTACCTCCTCCATGGTTCACCAGCAGCTTGCTGCAGCAGCTGTCTACCAGCACAGCTCGACTCTGTGGGCTCCTGCGCTTTCACAAACTGTGTGGGGAGCTGGGGAGAAGGGGGCTAGAAACAGATTTTGCTGCTGTAACCTTCTTCTCTGTCAGGCAGGGACATTCATTTGTTTTCTCCCGGTGCTTTCCTTTCTGCCCCTAAATCAGCGGTATAAAAGTGCTGAACCTCCCCTGAAGGAGGAAGCAGAGGGATGTGTGAGCAGCCAGTGTTTGTGCTGGGCTCAAGGGATGGTGAGCACTGTCTTTGCATGTTCAAAAAGCAAACCACTGCTTCCATTTAGCTATAACAAGACCAGTTCCCATCCACAGTATTTCCCTTGAAGTGTATGTCCTTAGGAGAACTGTGATGTTGCATCTGGTCCAGGCAGCGGACCCAGGCCATCTGGGTGGCCTGTGTATCGCTGTGAGGAACTGCAGCAAGGCTGCTGACACATCTGCCTGCCTGCATGTGAATCACTAGGATCTCTCCTACAGCCCACGATGGGCATCTCAGTTGGTGCTCAGCCCTCAGCCAGTGCTCCTGGTGTCTCTCCTTTGCAGGTGCAGTGGCACTGCCGAGCTCGCATGATTGCTGGGGCCAACTTCTACATTGTGGGGCGCGACCCTGCAGGCATGCCTCACCCCGAGACCAAGAAGGACCTCTATGAGCCCACGCAAGGAGGGAAGGTCCTCAGCATGGCGCCAGGCCTGACCTCGGTGGAGATCATCCCCTTCCGGGTGGCTGCTTACAATAAAGTGAAAAGGGCCATGGATTTTTATGACCCGAAAAGGTAATGCAGCAGTAGTGTCACTGCTTCTTCAGCCTACACAGCGCACGCACTTTGGGATCACGGATGGCTGCAAGGGGTGAGGGAAAGCAGATCGTAAACCCAGGCATGAAGCCGCAGACGGGTTCCAGCAGTGCCGGGAGGTTTCTGATCATGCACCTGGCATGTCAGAAGAGCTGCGCTGGGGACAGCTTGGGCCGGTTGTGCTGATTTCACCCCATCTTTGTTTTGTGCAGGCACAATGATTTTGACTTCATCTCGGGGACACGCATGAGGAAGCTTGCTCGTGAAGGTGAAAACCCACCAGATGGCTTCATGGCACCCAAAGCTTGGAAAGTCCTAACCGAGTACTACCAGTCACTGGGAAAACAGAATTAACGCTACTCCTCCTCCCTAGAAATACTTGTATTAAGAGTGAGCAATGATTGATTGATTCCCTACGACACAGATCAGTTACTTTGCATTTCCAGTGCTCTGCCTGTAGGATTTTCCTACTGAGGTCAGAGTGTTTTTTACTAATCAGAAATAATTTGAGCCTGGTCCTTCTCCCCTGGAAGCTGCCAGGAGTGTCCCCATGGAGCTGGAAGGGAAGAGCAGTGGGCCCTTCATTCCCAGCTGCGTGCAGCTGCAGGAAGCCCAGCACAGCCTCTGGGTGGGCCAGCTGGAGCGTTCCAGTGCCACCAGGGCCATGCACCAGCCCCCAGTGCAGAGCTGGGACCTCAGCACCAGGATAAAATCTGTGCCTGTCTCCCGTGTGGCGCAGAAATGAAGTGCCTTTTCACTACCCCTCACCCAGCACTGCCTGAAGAGGAAGGAGCAGCCACTGAAGCGAGGAGCAGTTGCTGCTGCCGGGCTGGAAGGGGGAAACACACACAATGCTCAGATCCATTCACTGTCCTCCAAGTTGTCACATTGCCAGCAAATGGTGGGATTTTTTTAACGCCCTTTTCTAAAAAGGATTTTTTTTAAATCAGCTTTGACCATCACTAGTTCCTGTGGCTGAGACAATTGCTCACTGTTCTTCCTTGCTTCCTCCTGCTTGATCTCTGTGGTCAAAACAAAACCTGGGCTGAGCATTACCGATGCTCTGAGTTCAGCTTTCCATGGCAATCCCTGTGCTCACAGCCTAGTGGGTCCATGGATGGAAGAAGCTGTTCCTGGGAGGCACCGTGAAGCCTGGGAGATCTTTGGAAAGTTCAGGGCAACAATCAAGAACCGGGAATGCTTTTTACATGCTTTAATGGGTGTCCTCCCACCTGGCAGGATTGCATCCCTCCTTTCCTTTGCCTGTGCTCCTCCCATCTGAAAGGCAAATTAAAGGCAAAACAGCAAAATCACAGTGTGAGGTCGGTCCAAGAGGCTGGACTTGTTAAACCAAGCAAGAGCTGGCTTAAGCACTTGCCTTCATCTGTGCCTGTAGTCCCACATGGGTACAGGTGACCTGATTTTATTTGTACCTGTGGGCTGCTGATGCTGGCTCTGGTGGGGCGACAGCAGAGGATGGAGAGAAGTCCTTATTGTCTACCCACATCTGCATGGGGTGCTGCTGTGTGAGGGGTGATGGTGCTGAGCCATCATCTCACATAGAGAGCTGGTGTCTGGTGCTGCTCCCAGCTGGGACTGGTGGAAAGTTACAGCAGCTCTTACCTTCTTTCCCAACCAACCCCTCTGACACTGATTTTGGTGCTGTGTTGGCTTTTTTGCTGACCCGCAGCACTTGCAGTGACCTCCAATGGTGCTGAGCAGTGTGACTCAAGACTGGAGCTTTACCTGGCCCCACTCATGTCTCACCAGACACGTGCTGCTGGGATGTGTGTGCCTCTGTGGTGGCTGAGGTTTGAGCACAGTGCCCCACACGGCTGGGAGCCCCTCAGCCCCTCACCCCTGCCTGTGCCTCAGAGTCCTGCCTGCGCTGGCTTTCCCAGGGAAAGGGCTGATCCTGCGGCCCCGCTGTGCTGGCAGCAAGGAGCACGCTGCCTCCCCAGCCACCACACTCAGGTGTGAGGTTTTTACTGCGTGGAAGACAGCTACGCACTTGTTGGTTACTGCAGCAAACTGAATGGATACTTTTTGTACTCATCTTTTCTCAGTAGATGCCCCAGGACCAGTCAAAATGTGTTTCAAATGACATGGAAATAGCGCTCTCCTCTCCTTCAGTTTTAATTACAAATGGAGCTACGCTCAGCAAGAATAATAATGCTTCTGCTTGTAACTTAGGATAGTGAGCTACATTGCAAACCAAAACCTGTTTTGCTGTGGCCATGGGGCACTGTCCAAGACCATGTAATTGGGAATACTTTTGCAAAAAACTTTTTTTCATTTGTCAACTTTTTTGGAGTTATTTTTTCATAATTTTTTTAAGTATTGGGAGCAAAGAGCCCAAAGCTGTATTATACCTCAAGAAAAATGCTGCAACACTCATGTTAGTAGCTGAAAGCACACACTAGCACCAGTGCCTTTTACACTCAGGCCCTCTGGCAGGGACCTGAAGACAAAAGCAATACTCCCATTTGATTGCAATATTTGTCATTTTTAATTAGTGACATAGTGCTGTTGCCACTCATCATAAAATAATTAAACAGTTAAACTCCCCTCCCCCCCCAAATCTGAATGGTTACAGCAAAACATAAATGTTGTATTATCCTTTTAAAATAGTGTACTGATTACCTCTGATCCAAATAGAGTATGTGGACTAGTTTTTTTATAGTGTATTTATTAAAGGCATGAGACTGGAATTTGCATCAAGTGATGCATCTCATGATTTAATATATTCTGAACTTGATACTCTGCTACAAAACACTCACTTTTAGTACAAATAAATATTTATATAACTAACTCTCACCTTGTGATTTTTTTTTTCCAGGGGAGATAGTAACTATGCAGTTCATCTAGGGCTGTGACAGGGCTGTAGCGGCAGGAGCCACGTTCCAGCCTTGCATGCTCAGGGCCTTGGGGAGGGTAATGCCTGGACTAGCCAGGAGAGAGGCTGACTGGAGCCCGTTTCCTTTTGGAAACCTCATGTAATTTACCTTTTCCCTGCCTGGGCTGTGTAGTGTTGAAGTCACATTTAACAAGCCTATTAATTGGCTTACCTTCTGCTGCCCTGAATTTCTGTGGTGTTTAGCCAGCACTTACGCTTCTTCTAGCTGCTAAAATCCTGAAGAAATAGAGGCTGATTGATACTGCATCTCTTGGTCTTTTCCCAATGGACCTGCTGTCAATGGGCTGTGGGTCTGGAGGGTGCCGCAGCCCATGCTTCCCAGCTAGGGGAGAGACAGAGAGAGATCGTGCAAGCACTGCCAGCTTCTGTTGATGGGGACGGAGGCCCTTTGCTGCTGGCCTGCACCAGCCCCAGTGCAGGAGCTTGGGTTGTGCCCTTTGCTCACCCTGCTGGGCTCCCAGCACCCCACTCAACCAGAGTGGTCCCCTGCAGCAGCCCAGGGTTCACCCTCGCCTGGCCACTGCATCCCTGTGTTTCCAAGCACTAGACAGGGAAAAGACGCCCTTGCCCGAGCCAGTCTCAAAAGAAAAAAAGCTGTATTTTCAGAATGCAAACACTGACACACAGGTGAAGGTTACAGAAAACAGATCAACAAAAACACAGGGCAAACAAACAACACATTTATTCGCTTAAGACTACTCCAAAGGTTTGTGTTTGTGCTGTACTATGGAACGGGCAGGATTAGTTGCTTTACAGCCCAGGGACAATTTAGGTATGGTCTGTGCTGTACACAGTCTACTGCTGACTGCTATGGCTGAACAGGTCCTAAACAAATTATTTGCCTGCTGAGAATGTCTATGCCTCTTCCTGCAGAGGATTCCACCTTTAATCCCCGAGATAGACCTGTTTCACACAAAATACTGCATTACAACTCAGAGTTCAGTACTGGAGACTAGACTGGCCCCAGCCCATACCTGTGAAATGATGCTCAGTTTGAACAACTGGCCCCAGAGCCAGAGGAGAGGGATTAGGCACATCCCTGCTCTAAGGAGAGGCAGGATCATATAGAGAGGAGCATGGACCAAACCACTGGAGACATGGAATTAAAGTGGCCATGTTCCTGCACAACAACCATTCCCCCAGCCTTTCCAGCAAGCTGCAGGAAGGGTCTGTGCTTTGCCAAGGACCCCTAAAATGACATAAAGAGCAGGCAAACATGGAAAAATCTTTGGAAAAGTGGAAATTACACTCCAGCTGCAGTAACTGTCCTTAGGGGCAATTAGAAATAACCACTCATGCCTCCTCAAACCAGCCCCTTCAGCCTCTGACAATGCATTACAGGCACAAGGTAAAGGCAAGATTACCAACCAGCATGCAAACAGCCAGGTTCTTGGAGAAACATGCAAACAGGAGATGAAAGGTCAGCTGGTGAGAGAGGATGCCCCCAGCACCTGCAAACAGTCAAGGGTTTGTTCCTATTTCCTGTACACTTTCTGACATTTAAACTCCCTCGAGGACACACTTTACACTCAATTGAAACCAATTAAGACAGCATTCTTCAGCTGCCTGCACTAGATGTTTACCAAGTAGGAAGCACTCTGAACAAAGGAAGGAGGCACAGGACCAACGGCATAATTGCACCAGCCTGGCCTCTCTCAGGTGGAACAACTACTGAGAGGGCTGGGGAGACTTCAGAGCCAGAGCAGGCACTGAGAACAGACTGAATAGCTGGAAAACTTCATCTAGCACATGCATAATTCAAACCTTCTGAGAAACCAGCTTCCAGTAACACTATTTGCACATATAATTTTAAGGTTGGTTCTTGAACTCAGTCTCTCACAGAGCTAGCACTGGCTTACATCACTGCCTTATACCCTGTCACTAACTGACTTGTGGGATTAGCATTCCATAGCCCATATTTCTTAGATTTCCATAGCCCAATATTTCTGTGTGCCCAGCTTCCTGCATCCTTGTGTTAAAGCAATATGCATTTACCAAAGACTTCTCTCCCCATATAAAAAAAGCAAAGCAATTATCAAATTATTTTTAACCCCACCATGTTCTGTACCCAAGGAGACTAAATTGGGTCAAACTAAGACCTTCTGCATGTGGTACATTATACAACCAGTGTGCCAGACAAAAGGACACCGTGAGAAAGCTGTGCTTAATGTAAGTTGTCATCAGCACCTGATACTGCACGATGGCTGGCTCCAGCTGTCTTTATTTTACTTTGCAGTGCATTTTGTGTTACATCATTATCGTGCTTTCAATGCTTACCTTCCCTCAACAGCTAGCAGAGCTCTGCTACCAGCCTGGGGGTTTAACAATTCTGATTACATATTTGTGTTAAATTAGTGCACAATTCATCATATTATAAGAAGAAAAATCAAGTTATTGAAAACCTAGTGACAATAACTGTACCAAAACATGTTTGCCACTTACATTTTCAACTCTTTGCCTTTATCACTACATAACGTTACATGAATTTACTGAAACTGTTACCAGCAAGTACAGCAGAATGTTGCTAAATCACATTTATAAACCTAAACCCCATCCTCTTCTCATCAGTTTTGCAGATCAGAGCATGTGACAGAGCAAAACATCACGAAATGTCCCCTCGCGCCTCAGAGCTACGTGTATGACACTTCATGGTACAACACCACAGTGCAGCAGCGGGGCTTCCAGAGGAGATTAAAATAGCAGCAAGCCCTCGTTACAATGCATAATAGATCAGAAAGCCACAATTTCAGAGAGCTTAGGATATCTGGGATTTATGAAAGACCAGTTAAGATTCTACTCTAATTACTCACATTAAGGGAAAAATAAAACCAGCATTCATTTAAAAAGCCTCAAAAAGCAGAATTCATACAAAATGAAAAGTATTCAAACATTTTTACAGAGGTTTACTATCTTTACTAAATGGCACCAGATTTCAAGTGGTCATTCATGTGAAAGGAAAATCAGTAACATTTCAAATTTTGCCTGAAGGTTATTCTAGAAGCAGAAGTCCTATCTTCATATTTGCTGCTAAAAGGAAGAAGTAAATGTGCATTGAGTATTGATGAATCTTTAATCTATACATCTTCTGATTTGGTTTGATTCAGCAAGTAGAAAAGATTTTCCATACTCAAGTTATCTACAGATTATGTCTATATATAAAAAAAGGTGTGGATATATACATTTAATACACACACACACTCTCGTACGTATATACACAAACTGGTGCAAGTTTCTAACTCTCTGCAGCTCCAAGGTACCACATCAGAACCTCCTTTAAGGCTATACCGTGTATCGATTATGGGACAAGACACAGGCAGTTGCTCTTGGTCTGGGCTATAATTGTTCCACTTCATGATCTATTGTTACACTCCTAGTTGTGCATGACGAGATTTCAATAACTTAGAATTTGTTGTATAAAAACAATTCCAGAAACAGAACTCCCTTATTTAAGGAACATCCCCGCTCCCACCCCCTGACATTATTTTTGCTAACCAATTACAGAAGTCAACCTAAATCACACCAGAAACTGCAAACACACTCTTTTGTCTTAATCTAAACTAACGTGCATCAAAACATTCTGCAGTGTGGCATCCTTGGATTTTCTCATCTTCTCAATTGCCCTGTGGAGATCCTGCTGCTGTACAGGCCGGATTTCATCTTCATCATGGCTTTAGAAGAAAGAGAGAAAGAAAAAAAGCAAGATAATGATTCAGGTGCTGTGTAACAGCTGTTCAAACAATGAGAAGTAATCACTGAAAATGGCAGCTCTGACATGGATCCAGCATTACACTGGAAACATGCCCCTGTCCATGCATTTATTACCTGCAAGTATGGGAGACAGTAAGTGGAGTTATGCACATGCAAGAGCATTACCAGCATTTAAGCCAGGTAATATAGCGCAGTAGTATCACTTGCTGGTTCACTGCACCTCAAGTTTGACAATTTGGAACACTCTTATTTTCATTGTCAAAATTAACAAAGGTTACTTACTTGGGGTGGGGTTTTTTTTTTGTTGTATAGTGGCAATTCGTGAAGCAAGAGAGAGAACCTCCTGCTTTCTGTGAATCACAGCAAAGTTTTTCAAACCTCTATAAATTTGCAATTCAAACCAGAAAATACAAACTAGTAATTGGACAGGAGCATTCATAACTGCTGTTCAGCTATCATAACAGGCAGAATAAAGACACATACGTCTCTTCTTCACAGGCAGAATTAACATATTCCCTGACACAGAGGAGTGCTGCATCCCGGCACATTTCTTTCAGATCACTTCCTGAGAAGCCATCAGTCTCTTTAGCAACTTCCAGGAGATCTACATGCCTGTCCACCTGTCAAAAAACAGAAGGTCAGAGCATGAAAACTCTACAGTCACTTACTTTCTTCCAAGGACAAGAAACAGTCACCTCCAGTCTTGACTTTGACAGCTAAAAGAAAATTATTTTGTTAACTTATGCTCCGAATCCTCCAAGTAGTTCATTTTGTTAAATGAAACTCATTCTTCATTTCGTAAAACTCTGTAGCTGCTTAACAAAAACACAACAGGCAACTGAAAGTGAACTATCATATTGGTATATTCTGTTACTAACATCCTGTGTAGCGTTGGAAGCCCACTAGATGGCAAAAACTGGATCACAGGAATAATGACCCATTTTCACAAATGCCCACACAAGTTTCCAGTTCCCTGCAAGGACACTCTTTTTTTTTGCTAAAGGGGTCTATCAGACCATGCACACATCTTTGTGTCTGTAGACAACGAACATTATCCAATGGGTCTTCTTTCACATCCCCAGCACATTTTTTACATTATTTGAAAGACTATGGTTTGTTTTCATAAGCACATCTTTTGACCAGTAACACAGCAAGGCTGGAAGAAGCTCCTGTCACATTCACATTTTGCTGTTGCCACCTTTTAGTGCAGGGTAAGAACTTCAAAAGCAGTTGTTCACTATCTATCTCAGCAATTCAGTTGTCTGCTGACTTACTGAACAACTGCTATTTTATGCAACCACGAAATGGGGAACTTGGATGTAAAATAACGTGTCCAACTCTGTGCACTGGATCAGACTGATTTCTTTCCAGCCAAGACCCCATATTTATTCGGTCTGTTTACAGAATCTCCATAACAGTCTCTTCCAGCACATTTTCCAATGCATCAGTATTTCCTTTTCAAAAAGTTAAAGCCAAACTGGTCTAGCAAAAGGCTGAAATTATGGGATGACTTCTTCTAAGAGGGAAACTATTCTGTGGTGATGAAGGCAAAGCTCCAGGTGTAATCTTTGCTGCTTCCAGCTACCCCTTCAACCCGTGCGCTCCCCAGGATAATGCAAGAATATGCTAACATCAACTGAGCACCCTTCCAACTCCCCACTGTTCCTCCTGCTTTCCTTGAAGAACAAGAGTTACAGTGATACTGTCCTATTGGCTCAGATCTTGAGCTTGTACTTGAGCCCCAGCTCCCTGACCTAGGACTCAGCAGGCAGTGCTTTGGTTTGGGTCTGGAGTCAGACATCTGGCTCCATAGGCATGGAAATTAACAGAAAAGCAGCAGCTGGCTTACACTAAAGTGCCTCCTACAGACACTATGGCCTGGGTGTCTTGAAATGCTTTGCTTTAGAGCATGATCCTGCACACAAATACTGAAGCCAGTAACACTCAGCTGCAGATCTGCAATGTATTTGCTCAGTATGCGGCTGAAGGCCATCAAGAATTGAATGGAACAGCACAGCTAGCTAAGAATAAATAGAAAATGGGCATGTTGTGTAGCAGGCATTAACAAGGGTTTCCCTTTGAGTGAGAAAGAAGAAACAGGACTTTAAGACAGTCAAGGAAAATGGAGGGCATGACTACCTGTCACGTGAAGGACTGCCAGGAAGTTTGTCATCCTGGCTTAAAATAAGCTGGGCTTGAGAGATCCAATTCTTCCTCATATGGGATAACCAATATAGGCTGATCTATTTTTTTTTCCCCTTCCCTGAAAAACATACTTGTGTGGCTGTGATTCACTGCCAGGTGCTTCACAGACCTTGCATTCTTTCAGGTCCACACTCAGGAACCAATTTAGGTTTTTGCTGAAGGCCTTAAGGCCAAGGTGCTCAACTCCCAGGCCCAGCTGCCAAGGCAAAGGAGCCACAGAGTCCACTTGCGTGCAAGGGCTGGGTGGCTTCAGATAGTCAAGGAGCCTGTATAAACGTCTACTATTTGGAATAGCTCCCTAAGGGTTCCTGAAGAGAAATCTGAGTCTGAAATCACCGCTTGTAAGAGACTCGTTAGTTTGTTTGAGATTTTCTGCAAATAGGTCAGCTCTTCCTCCACAACTCCTCTGGCATTTCACAGCAGTTCTGGTTTTCTGTTTTCACATCTATGCCTAGTATTTTGCACAAAACCCAACCTACATTCTAATCCTATACAAACAATCCAAAATGACTACTTGCAAAGTAACTTCTCCAGTATCTCAGCCATCTGCAATGATGAGCTGCAATTTTTAGGCCTCTTAAAAAAAGTGAGTTGGTTTTACTAACAAATGATATTTATTAGGATATACCTCAGCCAAGAGACGCTTTGCAACATTAACTTCAAGACAGTTAGTGCTGCAGACTAAATTTAGCAGGAACCTCCAATAATGTAGGTCCTATATCCTGCCAACAGACACTACCAGATGTTCTCACACCTACCCCTTCCCCTCATCTTGTAATATAGGTGGCAACATGAGCACCATACAATATTAGTAACAAGATCTATAGTAGTTTTCCTCTAAAGGAAATACGAAGTATGGATAAAAGCATGAAAAGCAGCACTGTCAAAAAATGTCAGTCCTCCTTTCTTGACTTCAGCCAATCAACTGTGCAGAATTAAAAATATTCAGTATCTCTTCTCCCTGCCTCATGACATCTTGAAATTTCTTTCACTGATCAAAGTGATTTCCACATGATTCACCTTCAGCATCTTTAAGAGATAAATATATTATCTTGTTATGTAAGAAGAAAATGGAGACAGAGAAATTAAATCTTTCTCCTCAGAGGTGGTGAATCACCACAAAATCCAAGACTGCTTCTCTGACTGAGGCTGATGCTTAAACCAGTAGGCAACCTTACTGCTTTAATTTAACACCACACATAAAGCCACAGAAGATTCCTAGGTTCTAAACAGAAATACTCTGGTAGATAATCTCTACCTTACTCCAAAACAGTCAATTATAAAACATAACAGCTTGCATTCATGACAACAGTAATAAAGCAAATTAACCATTAAAAGATGTCTACTTACATTTTCATTCTTCAAAATTAGCTTCAAGATTGCTTCTCTTTGTTTCAGAGCCTTAAACAAAAGAGACTAACGTTACGATAGTACAAAAATAAATGTGTAACATCTATCTCAATTTTGCACTGCGTGGGCTTTCCATAACAGTTCAGTGACACAAGCTGATCCCTCAAACAGGAGATGTGATATACACTAAGGAAACCTATCTGATGGCAAATCACTCAGCAAAATGAGAGCTAGGGTACTCTGACTCCAGGAGCACATGAAACTAAACATTTGAGTGTATACATTTACGCTAACTACAGGGAAAGGGAAATGCACCTAACATTCAGTCTTACTTTGCCCTAAGTGAAAGCAGCTGTCTCTGAAAGATTTCCTCTTATCTTTAACGGAGGGCAGACTCCATTTTCAGGCTGGATGTGAGGAAAGAATTCTTTACAATGAGGGTGGTAAAATGCTGGCATATGTTGCCCAGAGAGGTGGTAGCTGTTCCATTCCTGGAGACATTCAAGGCCAGGCTGGATGTGGTGGTTCTGAGCAACCTGATCTAGTTGAAGATACCCCTGCCCATTGCAGGGTGGTTGGACTGGATGACCTTTGGAGGTTCCTTCCAACCCAAGCTGTTCTACGATTCTATGACTTTTTAAATCTAAGGGATGTTTTCAATACTTTGCTAAATCAAATGAAGAGTATAAATTGTTCCACCTAAAAAAAAAAAAAAAAAAAAAAAATTACAGATAATGCTTGGGAAATTTTAAGCAATGTAAAATCACATACTGTAATGGGGCTATGAGGTTACTGAAAGAAACAGCTAAGTCATGAGTATACCCTTACTAGCAACAGGCAGCGAAGAGACTGGGTTTTGTGTCTCCCAAAACCAAACTTGTCTTAAATTCACCTTCACTGTTAAAAAAAGAAAAAAACTACACCATAACTACCCTGGCAGCTGAACAGTTGATATTCTGTCTCAAAAAACACTTCTTCCATTTCCCTCTGCCTTGCAGATAACTTTGTAAGAGCATTTTTGGGCCTTTTCATCTCAAACTTAGTTATAAGATCTGCAAGGCTTTAGCTACTCTGCAGTGATACTACCTGCGCACACTTCCAATTCACAGCACACAAATCATCTTGGTCCTCCATAAAACAGTTGTAACCAATCTTAGTTGCATCACAAATTACCAGAGACAAGAACAAGAGACAAACATTAAGTTCATAATATGGCTGTAGTGAGGTAAGGAAAATTACATGCCTGTGCCCTAAATTATACTTCCTGTTTCAATTCTGATCCTGGGAGAGGGAGACAACCCCTGTAACATCCTGAGGCACTGTTAACTGCAGATAATTCATCCTTCTAACGACAATTCTTGATAGAAAGACATGACACAGTAATAAAATATACATTCTTGCCCCTTACTAATTCAAGGAAAACTTGAGGATGAGTAAGGTGTATAAAACCCTATGAGCAGGCATCACAGAAATGTAGTTACAAGAACATGAATGCTTTCTTTGAAAAAGTATCTGCCCACAAGGAGTGAAAGCCAGTTCAAACACGATGGGATTGGCAACATGACTACTTTCTTGCACAATCAGTAAGTTTTATTCCTCCAATTTTGTCTCTTAAGTTTCTCCAAAAAATGAATAATGAAGGTTATTTCTGTAGCCAGAAGGGAATACTGACAACCAGGACTGAACTTTTTATTACATTGATACAAAAATGTCTTGTGATATTGCTAAGTGTTGGAAGGAGATTAAAATGCCTTGAAAGGGATGGCAATAGAAAAATTTACACTAAGGGTAACCTTGTGACGTATGTCCTAACTGATAGCTTACTTAATTACTACCTATTTGGCATAAATCATAAGCACAGTTAAACCAGTTTTCCAGATTGCTTGCTGTGTCTGACTGTGGAAAGGCTTCTGCGGAATGTAGACCTCGATATGCAGAATTTGTTCCCTCTTCTCTTCTTGAAAACTAAATATTGTATATCCAGAAGGTGTAAATAGTAGTAAATATGTACCTCCTCCTTCCTGACACTACCCAACCTGGGTGCCGCTCTCCCCCATAGGCAAGTGTGTGCAGTCACTTCTGTGCTTTCCAAATTAAAACTAAGCTCTTTCCAGAGTGCAGCGTCTAAGAGACTTCAATCTTATAGATGAAGAAAATGGGTGGGAAGCTCTAAAAGTACATGGTGTTGTTTCAGATAAAACCCCCAAATAATCAAGATTTCTGTGAGAAACTTCACCTTAAAAAGACAAGGTGTATATATATGCTTCTAAAAAACTAAAACCAGATCAAAATAATACAGTATTTCTTTGAAAGAAGAATACCCCAACCAAACAACAAACAAAAAAACCCAAAACCAACACAAAACCCCAACAACAACAAAAAAAAAAAAAAAAAACCAACCAAAACACACCAAATAAAGAAACAAAACCCACCAACAATAAGATAACACAAGAACAAAACCCAGAGACACTTTCCTGTAGCTCAGTCACTAGGCATACTCCAGGCAAACCTGGCATGACTTACAGGTTGGTTGATGTGAAACCGGGTTGGCATTCTTCTCATGATTGCAGAGTCCAGATCCTGAGGACGGTTGGTGGCTCCCATCACTATTACCTGTAATACACCAATAGGAAAAAACAAGTCAGCCTGAAACCAGCTTTTGAAAACATTGCCATATTGGAATTTCAAAACCAAACGTGTGACTCTTCCACACTTTATCAAGAACATCAACATTTAAAGAAGTTACATAAGGTTTCTTGGTATGGATTTCAGCAACTGGATTAAACAGTCAGCTTGAGAGAGCATTGGTACCACTGAGTATCATCCAGGTGGAGATTTTTTACACTAATCTGAATCTTTCCAAGACCAATTTGAAAGTTCAAACTCTAAGCAACAATCCAAAACATCTGCTTGTAAGTCCTGGCAATGTCTCTTTAGTTCCTGTGGTTCTGGAAGGAACTCAAAAGGAGATATTCTGATAAGGTATTATCAGAAACTGTTAAAAAATGTGGCATTTTTGTGCTGTGCTGAAAAAAGAGAGGCAATCAGTTCACCAGGACAACCAAGCTGGCACCTTTCACATGCACTAAAATGTTTTCCTTTTTTTTTTAAAGCATTAAAAAAAAAAAAAAAGCAATAGAAGCCAGTAAGAACCTATATGCACTAATATACTGTAACAGCAGCACATTAGGTGTGTACAAGCTAAGTTCAACACAAGGAGAGTATTTACTTCATTTGACTGCATTCCAGTTATTAGTTTAAGAACAAATTTACTTCCTATTCACATCAGCCTTACTTTCTCATTTGTTATTCTAAGTTATGTACATTGTAAATATCCAGTCACAAAGGTGAAAAATGCCAGGGAAATTAATCTCCTATCAATGCAGTTTCCTGACGTGCTTCTCTCTTTTGTCTGGGGTCACCGTTTGGCAGCCAGCCCTGGCTCCAGCAGCTCCAGCAGCCCCTGGCCAGGCTGGCTGGTGTGTTCCGGAGCAGAGTCACCCTGCCACCTAGAGGCTTAATTATACAGTGGCAAATTGCTACACACAGAGCCAAAAGGCACGTTTTCCACCGGAGCTCCAGAAGTCTTCATCTTCTAGAAAGCGTTATGCATGCAAGCGCTTTGTGCCTGCCGGCATGACAAACACAAGCTAATGTTTCGCTGAGCTGCCTCCTGCAAATGTATCACTGTATGAAGCACCCATGCTGTGCTCCCCCAGGGTCTGCATCAAGGCCCGAGGTGTTGCTCCCTCTGTGCTACCAAAGCTGAACAGCCTTCCCAAAAACAGCTTTGTATACAGCCTCTGCAAATGTGAAATGCGGCTGTACAGGGCTTCCAGACTTGAACTGTCCCTTCAAGCAGCATAGCTCTCTTTTCCAGGCACTGTGCCCCAAGTTCCAGTGAGACTGAAGACTATATCCTTGTATGACCATAACACCATGTTTCAGTATTTAAAGGGTGGCTACAAAGAAGATGGGAGACTCTTTTTACAAGGAGTCACATGGCAAAGACAAAGGGTAATGGGTACAGGTTACTCCTGGGGAGATTCCAACTGGACACAAGAGGAAGATTTTTTGCAATGAGAACAACCAGCCATTGGAATTATCTCCCCACAGAAGTGGTGGACGCTTCAATGTTTGACACTGAAGATTCAGCTGGACAGGTGCTGGGTGCTGGGCCATCTAGTCTAGGTCATGCTATGATAAGAAAGGTTGGACCGGATGATCCTGAGGTCCCTTCCAACCTGGTATCCTATGATTCTAGGATATCCTTGAACCCTACATTTAACCCAAAGCTGAACACACTTTTCAGGTGAAATCAAAAGAGGAACAAGTAACATTCACCACAACACTTTCTTACAATTTTGTCCTAGCATTGGGAATTTTTGCTACCATAACAAAAGCCAAATTTAATCCTTATTCAAAGGAAATTTGCTTGGCAAGAATCAGACAAGCAACCCAAAGCTCCCAAGTAAACATTTGTAATTAACAAAAGAACCCAGCAAGCTGGCTGTCAAAACCTAAGACAAATGTCAAAACTATCACTTGGAGAACACTTCCTGAATTGCAATGATATCTCAGTGAGGAGCCTGGAATATGGTATTGAAAGAAAACACAAAACCAGAAATCAACCTGAACCAATGCCTGCGGCGCCACCAGCCAATCATTTGTATTGCATTTTAGTTGGTGGCTCCCTACCCTGCAGAGCCATACAAGTGAAAGGACAAGAGTGACTTGCTCAGGCTCTGCATGTTGAACTTGAGAGATGGTAATTGTCTTACTGCAGAGAATGGACAACATGATCTGCCCCAAGATATTCTCAGTATATTGCAGAAAAAGGTAATACATTCAAACTCTGAAAGAAACGTGCGCTAGCAAGATCATGTCAACTTCCAGTGAAGTGTTCATACCACTGGCCTCTTACTAATAGAAAGCAAACACTCCACTTTAAAACTCCTCAGCATATGCATTCACTGTGTTCTAATCAGTTTTTAAAATATCAACGGAAAAGAATCTTTAGCACAACCTTTAGAGAGAAGGAAAAGCAGATTTTACAAAGAACTAACAAGCAGAGGTCAGAGCATCAGAACCCATGCACCAAAAGACACAGATTAAAAGGGCTGAAAATTTTAAAACTGAAGAATAAATATCCTTTTTAAAGGCCTTAGAAAGATTGCTCCAGATGACAGTTCAGAAACATACCAAGCAAGCTTTCATCTATGCAATATGTAAGTAATTTATTTCATAAATGTTTTTTGTTCGTTTATCAATACCAGCAGCTTTTGTAATTTTTTTTTCCTCTCCAAAACACAATACTTCTGTCCAGATCATGGGAGGAAGCATACAGCAATAACAAGATGGAAGCGTGGCTCCATTTAACAGAACCCTTTCAGGTTACCTCCAGAGCCTAGTGCTTGTCTAATGCTTTTCTGGAAACAAACCAACCAACCTGCAACTGGGGTAAATACTCAGATCTTTCAATATCTTTCCTGAAATCAAAGATTAACTTCACCTGAAAAAAATATTGTTGACAAAATGTTTTTCATCACAGTTTAAAATTGTAGCAGCTCCCAATTTGGCAGCTCAAAGTACACAGCTTTTATATTATCAAGACTTAAGACACTTCTGCCTCTTAATCAAAACCAAAATACCTACAAAAACAGTCTTCTAAAGAAGAAGAATGATCTACTAATATAACTCACCTCATTCCCGTAATATAGTGGTAATCACTAGCACTGACAGGTAAAGAAACTCTTCTGGCAATTATTACTACACGCAATCTGCTATTCCTCCCAAATGGTTCAATGCACAATATCCAAGAAGGAAGACTCTCATCACTTTTTCTCTTATCCTTTGTACTTACTTGGCAGTTATAATCTGTGTCCAGACCATCCCACAGACTCATGAACTGAGCTTTCATCATAGCTGTAGCTTCATGGTCAGAACTTGATCGACTTCGCAAGAAGGAATCTGTATTAAACGATTTAGTAAAACAATTTACTTTCAATTCTGCCATAGAAACTATGCTGTTCAATTTCTCATGTGCAGACTTGTGCTATTCTCCATCTTGTAAATATTTTTAATAAACACTGTCAACAAATGAGAAATATTTCTTACAATAAAGAATAGGAAAGAAGAATTTTACCATATTTTTAAGCACATCTTTAAATTACATTACACAAGTATGTACCTATCTATCATAGGAGATTGTCCCAAATCTTGTTTTCCAAATTTTCACTTTCCTGAATTCATGGAAAGCGTAACTTCCACCTTAATTTCCCATGCAGAGATGGAAGAAGAGTCTGGCAAGCTAGAAGACACCAAAGCATAGGAGAACAGCAAGCTGCAGGACTGGTGTCAAGCAGGCTACACACTTTGTTATGCAGAGCTTTAACTCTGCTAGTAGTTGCCTAAATAATTCCCAACAGCTAGAAAAACACCAAGTTTTCTACACCTATACAAAAGGATAAAAAGCATCTTAAGTACATAGCCCCTTCATAAACCTGAACTACGAAAAGGGTAAAAGATTTGTCAGGGTCTGTTTCTGCAACCTGTACAACCCGCTCTAAGAAGCGACAGTACTACAAGACAACGAGCTATTTTAACTGAACTGCTCAAGTTCACATGGACTTAACACTCATGTGAGAGGTCCAAATGCACTGAACTGGCAGCTTTGCTGTCTTCCTAGCTGAACTTCCCCTCCTACTTCTTCAGTCTTATTAAACTATTATTCCTGAGCTCTCCTAAACCTGTATTTTTTTTAACCCCGCTATGTGCCCTCATGGCAGAAGTGTTGAGGTGTATTTGGTGATAGGTTTCCTGAATAAGGAGTTCCCTTGACAGAAGAAAAACTTTCCTCATCAACCACCTTAGCCCAATCAAAAATAAGCAGCAACTTGTTCTACTTGAAATTTCCTCCACTAACACGAGGAAGAAGTGAATTGTTTTTCCCTAATTTGCCACCATTACTTTACAATACCTTTATATTACTAAACCTTGTTGCATTATCTCTCTTTTTAAGGAAAAGATGACAGTAGATCAAGATTCCCATCAACTTGAATCTGCAGTTTAATATCACTCTGCTATAGTTAGTTACAAAAGAAAAAAAAAAAAAAAGGTAGATTTTTACCTATTTCATCAATAAAAATGATGGATGGCTGGAGCTTTATAGCAAGAGAGAAGACAGCAGCAGCCAGTTTTTGAGACTCTCCATACCATTTGTCTGTCAGTGTTGAAGGCTGGAGATTAATAAATCGACAGCCTGCTTCTTTTGCTGTAGCTTTGGCGATCAGTGTTTTGCCACAACCAGGAGGGCCATAGAGAAGTACTCCTGGAAAAGCAACAGTATTAATGCTCTCTGGTTGCTGTACAGAAAACATGCTTTGGTATGACAGACCTGATAATGTCCAGGCTTTATTTTTTATCGAAGTGTTAAAAGGTAAGAAGCCAAGTTATACAGTGTTCCATCAAATACAGTTACTTATTCTTATTATAAAATTAAAGTTAAGAATATCTAAAAAGAGATATGGTGAAACTGAAGGGAGATATCTATCTGAAAGATGATAGTTTGATTACTGTGATTGTAAAGGTTACGTTGTCAGGCATTGCTTACAGCTAGCTTCAGCTGGGCTAATAAAACTTAGCACAGAGCAGGGAGGGGAGAAAAACAGATTACCCACAATTAAATGACATCTCATATTATTTTTTAAACTTGTCATAGTGAAAGAATCCACAGTCGTGTTTTTCTAACATAGCTGTAAAGAAAATTTGAAGAGAAAAAAAAAAAAAAAAAAAGTCAAACAGGCTTGAAACACAGAGAATTACCAGGGTTTTTCTTCTGTTTATGTGCCTGATGACCACAGATTACCCTGAAGCAATAACTTCCCATTAAGACACAGTGCAAGCCACTGAGAAAACTGGGGAGCTTGCCCTGTATGGAAAGTCTGCTTTAAAAAGATAAATAAAAAATAATTTTTTCCTTCAGCTTATTAGATCATGACATGAAAGTAATTTTCCAGACAGTTTCAATTTGTGACATAAGCAGAAAGTAGCCTGGAAAAACTAAACCACTTATAAAACTGCTTCATTTTCCATCACTTAGGACATAAAACTATGATGGTCACAGATACAGGCAGTAATTAATAGTTTTCAGAGAATTTTCAGAAGACAATATTCCAGGCATCAGAGCAGTAAATATAAACTTCACCATCTTGTCCAACATTTCAGGTTCAAATTCTGCTTGTTTGCAGTAACATAGAGCAAATATGGCTGTAAGCATTCCAGCAGAGTGAATCCAACTTCTGGTTTACTGTTGGAAAGTTAATTTGTCATCCACCAGTTTCCTTACTGCCTCAATACTGTGCAACTCAACTCCAGAGAAAACCAAGGCATATCCAGAATAAAAATGGGATCTCTGTCTTTTTGAATGACTGGAATTTCTAGGGCTAGAAGAGAGAGATGTCTGCAAGATTAGCTTATAGTGATGTCTAATATTTGTGAGTTAGGATTTTATGACACCGTAGAAATATTAACCAAGTGTACAGCTGTACAGAGTTATAGCTCACCTCTGCCAAAAGGACAAGATGGGTTATAATAAGAAAAATATCAACAATCTAGGCAGTTAAAAATGCAGGCTACATAGATTAGAGCACCAAAATGTAACACCAAAAACTGAAAAGCAATCATCCCTTCATTATTAAGGTGAAACTTACACACTAGAACTTGATTTCATGGCAAGAGAAGGGGAAGAACCTGAGTGTTTTCCCTTGGCATCAGTCCTCATGGTTGCACTCTGGACTGGCAATCCACTTCTTCTTTCTTTTCTGGGTAATTGTAACCATTTTCTTTTTTTCTCAACACACCAGCATTGTGTTGTGTAGAAACACATTTCTTTCCTACCTTTTGGTGGCTGTAAGAGCCTGGAATTCTCAAACAAATATTTCTTCTTGATGGGCAAAATGACAGTGTCTTTCAAATCTGTAATAACATCATCTAAGCCAGCAATGTCACTCCAGGTTACCTAATACAGAAAAATAGTATTAGAAATTATCATCATAGTCCCCACCAACAAAAAATATCCACCAGCTTAAAAGTAGTACAAGGCTTCAAAAATAAAAAAGACAAGTGATTAAAAACCCCTCTGCTCTTAATGATGCAATTTTAGTTTTAAATTACAGAAATATTTTCTGTGCATTTCCAAAAATACATATGTGATAAATAATGCAATCTAAAGTCAGAATCAGTATCTTCCATGTCTGAAGTGCATTCAGCAGAGTAACAAGGAAAACAATTTCTTACATGCATGCTAAGCGGGTCTACGAGATGTGCAGCAATACTCATTTCGTATTCGCTAAGCTTGACATTTTTCACTCCAATTTGCTTCATTAGTTTTTCAGCCTGGGGGAAATAAAACACCAAGAAAACCAGAGAAAAAAACTGAGCTGCTGTTTGGAGCCTGAAAAGCTTTTCTGTAAGTCACATCTGAAAGAAGGTTAAATCTTCCAGAAGTAGAAGGTTCTGCTATTTCCTAATGACTTCTTGTCACTTGAGTGAAACTGTCATTATGTCTCAGTTCTCATCAAGTAAGTGTCACACCAGCCCTCCCATCCCCAAGCCTACATGTCATACATTACAATCTGAAAAGCAACTAAAATAAACATAAGGACATGGAGTTTGCTGTTCAGAACACAAGTAACCTTAGTACAAAATCATTTCCATAATCTCTCACTCTAGGAGCTTCCAAAGCTGACACAGGCATGTTGCACTTAAAAAAAGCCCATAAGTCTTTACAAACTTTGTAAGGGATTCAGAAGAAAAGCCTGACACTTCTTATTAAATAGAACTCTGCAGAGTTCTTTCATGTGTGTAATTATCTTCATTCACAACCCTACAAATAACACACACACATTTTTTAATGGGACATATACCTGTGTTATTATAAAAAGCATGCCCCCCCAACCTCCATGGCATTGTATCAAGAAGAGATTAATATATTTTTAAGTAAAAAGAAAAATTACAGAAGCTAGTAATTTTTTTTTAATATGTATTCAATGATTTCTTTTTCCCAGTTTTAAAGGAAAAGTCATTTGTTGTGTTCAGATGCTTTCATAATTCAGTTTCTTTTTATACTCTAACTTGCGGTTAAGTCTGACATGCTTTTGGGATATTGCAACCTCTTATATAATGGCTGGCACTAGCATAGATTGTGAAGTAGGCCTAATTTTTTTAACTAATGTTTTCATTAAAAAAGAAAAAAACACCCCAAATAGAATTAGGTTGCTCAAAACTGCTGCTTGAACCTACGAAATTTATGTCAGCCAGAAAACAAAAAGCAGTTGCCACATTTCCTTCAATACTTTCCCAAGGAAACATTTAACTTTTGGTTCTGCACTTAAATCTTTTCCCAGAGCACTAACCCCCACGAATCATTCTATCTCAATGTAAGAAATGAGACTTTTCACTTCTCCCCTTTCCAGGGCATTTTGACTGCGACTGGAGGTGGGGGGCAGAACAGAGGGAGAGGGATAAAGTGCAAGCTATTCTTAAAAAGGCATTTGGATAGCAGTGTTCCTCTTTATCATAAGTAACTACAGTCCCTGCCTTTGCCACCAAGTTCCCAAAACGCAGCAGAGAACTAAGTTATTTCTCCTCAAGGTTTTAAAAAGCAACCAAAAGACTGATGAGAGCATTATTTAACTGAACTGCTGCTTAGCAAAATTGTCAGAAGCAGAAACAACTCTGGGACCACACACTTGCAGATAATTAGAGACATCGTACTCCAGTTCACAGTTTTTCCACCACTTCAGGTTAGAAAACTTGTTATGAAATGTAAGCACGGAAAACACTAACAGCCTAGATGCTGAAGTTTACTAAACTAATTCTAGGGCTTTGATTATTCCACATGCTTTTGTCAATTATTTTGCTAGTTATTTCAAGCTCAGTTTGTACATTTCTCTGTATGAATAGTAATGAACAAGACAGCATTTCACAGAAATATTTATGAATAAAATCCTACCTGTTTCTGAGCTTCTACTTTTTGCTTTCTGGTTGGATCAATGGCATCAACCATCCACTTAATGGTAAAATATGTTACAGCACCAAATATGGTTAAACGAAAAATTAATCCAACCACTTCATTCCGGCTCAGGGGACGTGAAAATGCTTCAGCATGGACCATTTTGCCTCTCAAACTAAGTGTAAAAAAGTGCAAGGAGGGAGGGACAGAAAGAAAGAAAATTAAAGATGAGAGAACATCTACCTTATATTTAAACAGCATTCTATAAGAACTATTTCCCATGCACACAGTGGGCATAGTTATAACGAAGTATCTCAACAGTTGCACAATCCCAACATACAAAACTGCGTAAGATTAAAACACAGAGTGCTGAGTATAATGATGGTTTAATTTCCAGTTTCAGTAAGCAGGAAAGAATTCAGAGACAGCAACAATTTGAGGCCTTACTTCTGGGCTGACTATATGCAAAAAGGTTCTTCTTTCACTCTCCCTCCATCAAGAAATCTGCTTTTCTCTCAGTTATACAATACCCTAAGAAACTAATAAAGATTATATCAGTGCCAAGTTTACATTCCCGTTCAGACTGACATTTTGTGACCGTTATTGACCCAAGAATGCTAAGTCATGGAGACAAAGATAACTACATTATTTAAACAGGGAGTTTTTTCCCCTAAGAGGAAGTTTAAAGGAAAGGCACCCAATGGCGACATTAAGAAGTGATCAACGACTCATATTTAAATAAAATGAGGTTAAAAACTGAAGTTTGCACCTAGCAGAATATATTTTGAGTTATTAATATCCCTGGAAAACTGAAAATGCTAGATGTGGCACACAGCTACCAAGGGAAAAGGCTGGCTGCTGTACAAGACAAATCCAGAAAGTACAGCACATTCAAGTTACTGAAGTGTACTGCAGAGAGGAAAAAACTCTTCCTGTAACACTGAAAAATTACTTATAAAATTGAGGTTTTCTTTGCCCAATCCACTTTGTCCTCAACTGGTGGGGTTTCCACTTGAGAATCCCCAAAGCTCTCCTTGTTCACTGCCCTATTTTCCTCCTGCAAGGGCAAAATCAGTGGCAAGTCCTTTGGCAGCTTCTAATGCTTCTTGGCTGGTCTCCAAACTAAGCTGTCAGCCAGGGAAAAGCTGGACTACCTACAGCCAAGATATCCTTGAGTTCCCCCTCACTTGGCTAGCAGTTGCATTATGTCGTCCCCGTACTCAAGGCAATGCCATACCATAGATTTAGTTTACAAGGACTGGGCAGACTGGAATTAGGAGAAGGACTGCAACACAAATACCAAAATATTTCAGTGTGGATCACTAAAAAACAGTTTCGTTTCTTTTTTAATTATTCATGCTCTGTTAGGAGATTGAAAAAAAAAAATAAAAAAAACCCAAGACCTGTGCATACCTGCTTGGAAATCAAATAAAATTTGCCTGCTTAGGCATCTAAGCAAGTAATACTGAACTAGCATATTCTGCGTATTATCTTAAATCTGATTTATTACGATAAAAGGACTATATATAGTCAGTGAACAAGAAAAAAGCATCCAAAAAAGTCCCCTAGCCGAATTAAAAAAAAAAAAAAAACTCACTTCTTATGCAACCCTTGCCCTGAATACACGTTGTAAGAAGAAGCTTATACAGTAGGAAAATTGCAGCATAACCTTTCTAAACAAACTTCCGCTTATCCTGCATGAATTTTAGCATTTACTTCCCAGACAAATTGCTGAGTTAACAAGAAGGACAGTTAATTGCACAGCAAACTCTAGGTCCATAAGGCTGCCACCACCTTTTTCTTTAGCTCGGTGTCTGCATGCCAAAGCTTCAAATACAAAAAAGAAACCAAAAGGAGAAGCGCTGCTGGTTTCTGTTCTGCTCCCACAGCACGGCGAGGGCAAAACTTCAGTCCCTGGTAGGAAACCCTTGCCTCTTTCCGGGCCCTCAGGCGAGAGCTACCGCTTCTCTTCCCAGGGCTCGGCTTTACAGCCACGCAGCACACCGACCGGTGGGACGGACCAAAAGAGGGGTCGGTT